GCTGACGGGAGGACAGCCCGTCGCAGCCGTCGGGGCCTTCGAGGTGGGACCCCGGGCCCCAACCCCCCTCACGGACCCTCGGGAAACACCCCGAGGGGCTGCACAGCTTCCCGCGTGGGTTTGGGTTTAGCCTGAAGCGAGAGGCCCGAGTTCAAAGCCTGGCTTCCCCACCGTGACCTTGGGTCCCCGCCCGAAGACTCAGTTTCCCCATCTGTGAAATGGGTTCAATGAGCCAGCACAGCCGTCAGGGAGGACTGTCGCCAAGACGAGATGGGCACACAGAAAACTGAGCTCGCCCCCCTCACCTGGGAACAGGAGTAACGGCCCCGTCTCTCAGGCACACGAGGATCCGATGAAATGCCCCGTGTAGCGCCCCCACCCCAGCACATGCTCCCCCTTAGAGTAGATGCCCCACAGGCGTTAGTGCCATTCACTGAATCCCCCCACCCCCAAGGATATTTTGAGGGGAAGGCAGAGAGGAGGGTCCAGCACGTCTAGACAAGGGTTAGAGGAGAGAAGGCAGCCAGGTGCTGAGAGGGCAGAAAGGAGGGAACATCTAGCTGGGCGTTGACGGGTGTGTACGAGTTCGCCGGGAAGGGCATGCCAGACGGAGGGAACAGCATGTACAAAAGGCGCAGACTGCGTTTGCTTCCTGAATGCCGACGGCGAAGATATCCTCTCCTTCTGCCCCCCTGCTCGGTCCCGGTGGGCAAAGCGGGTCCCCCCCGCCCCCTCCCCCGTCTCGCAGACACCGGGACCCGGGTCTCCGCTCCGCCAGGTCCAGATGGACGGCGACCTGACACTGTTTTTCGCTCTGCGCAGGGAGCCGGGGACAGAGCAGGGCATCCGGGGCCTTCGTGGTCTGGGAGGGTCCGATGGAGAACGCCTGGAGACCACAGCAGCCGGGTCACCCCATCCTGGGAGCGGGCAGGGTGGGACGGTGACACCACACACTCAGGCTGCTTCTCCCCCCTCCCCCGCCCCCCGACAGACACAGCCTCCTGCTCCCAAGCCCGTCTCTCCTTTGGAATTTGTAATTACGGATATTTTTTATTATTTTTTTTTAATTTCGGAGAGGAAGGGAGAGGGGGCAGGAGACGCCCGCACCTGTGATGACGACTTCGTCCCCGTCCTGCAGGAACCGCCGGGTCTGCCCGCCGCCCAGCTCGATGGGCTTCGTGCCGCGCCAGGACAGCTCCAGCATGGAGCCGAAGCTCTCTGGCTCCTGAGGACGGAAAAGGGAGGGGGTGTCACAGGGCCTCGTGTGGCTCCGGGGCTGATCCTCTACCTAGGAACCAGGAGGTCAGGGTCCGAGTCCCGGTCAGGGCACAGGCCCGGGCTGGGGGCTCCCTCCAGTAGGGGGCGTGCAGGAGGCAGCGATCCATGATTCTCTCCATCATTGGTGTCTCTCTCTTTCTCTCTCCCTCTCCCTTCCCCTCCCGGTCAGGCACAGGCCCGGGTTGGGGGCTCCATCCCCAGTGTGGGGCGTGCAGGAGGCAGCCGATCCACGATTCTCTCTCATCACGGATGTCTCTCTCTCTCTCTTCCTCTCTGACATCAATAAAAAAATATTTTTAAGAAAAGAAAGAAGAAAAACAAAGAAAGCATCACAGGGACCCACCTCTGGGTGAGCCTGTCGGCTCCGGCACGGACAAGACCTGGGAGCCCCGGGCGGAGGCGGGGGATCTGGGCCCCCCCAGACCCTGCCTCGGTGGGACCACACGGGA